AAGAAAAGATCTCCAGGTCTAAAGGCAAAATCTGTTCGCAAAAGAGGGAGATAGTCCCAACCAAATTACGGATAGAATTCGGGTGGARCTGRYCGACGGTAAYGCCGAAGTGGTTCATAACCTCAACGATGAGGGGGTGGAAAGGTAGGCGCAACCCAGCGACGAGCTGCTCCCAGAATATCACGATGTCATCGGGACCGTGTTCCCAAGGAAAGTCGTCCGAGGGTATAAAGTAAGTGTACTCCCTAGGCAGGTTGAACTGTGTGATAATGGAGTAAAGCCCCTCAGGCGTCATGGTTGAGGGCCCAAACTTGTCTAACGTTCGACCTCGACGGGAGGAGGACGCCAAACTACCCGAGGCGACTCGGCCTACGGGTTCGAACTCTTCCTCGAGCTCCTCCTCGAGCTCTACCTCGGGTTCACTAAGGCTGTCAGGGGGTGCAGCTCGGTTCATAGAACCTGCATCTGACCCCCTCGAAGAACTGTCTAAGCTGTCCGAGCTAGACATCGGGAGGAAAAGAATACTAGGACGAAAGTACTGACTCACCCAGAAAAAGCAAACGGACTATGGAAGGTTGACACGAGCTAAAACTTGGACGCGAGCTCAAGAAACAAACGCAGGAGAATGGCAATGAAAAGCGACTGGGGTCCCCCACTATTATACCCACAGTGACCGAAAACCGACGGTTATGATCGAGGCAAATCCAACGGCCCACGATCAAGCTGACCGCATGCCTCCTAAGACCGAGACGTGACTAGCCGCATGTCTTTTGAAACTGAAGCAGCGCCGGTGCACGTCTCCCACATTAAAGGCGGCAACGACGCATTTTTCAAATTTGAAATAACGCCCGTTGTCACATCTCCTAGCGGCGCATTTTTTAAATTTTGAAATAACGCACGTTGTCACGTCTCCCAGCATTTAAAGACAGATTGGCGCGTTTCCTGACTTTTTGGCACTCGAGAAACCCAAAAATCTCCTGACGAACGTGCACTTCGCGCTATCAGTCAACCAGTTCGAAGTACGGGTCAAATCCACCCGCCACCTCGCGAACTCCCCGCGCCAGGGCAAGCCCCTTAGCG